TGAAATATCGCGATATTTCAGTGTATCGATATTTTCTTACACCACTAGACCGTACTGACACTACACTAAGTGGCACTAGTGGAAAAGGGGCAATAGACTAACTGTAGCTAAAAGTAGCAAGAATCTAACTAAAAGCTAAAAGTAGCAAGAGTCTAGCTAAATGTAGCAAAAAGCTGAGAGGTAGCTAAAAGTAGCAAAAAACTAGCTAAAAAGTAAAAATAACAAAGTAGTAGATACAAGTAGCAAGAGTCTAACTATAAGCTAAAAGTAGAAAGAGGCTGGCAAATTTTTAGCTAAAAGCTTAAAATAGTAGAATAATACCTAAAAGTATCAGAGCAGTATTAAAGTAGCAAAAAGATGAGTGATTAAAAGTAGCAAAAAGCTAGCTGAAATGTAAAAAAAATAGCAAAAGAGTAGTTAAAAGCAGCAAAAGATGTGCTGATAATAATAGAGTGGTAGCGAAAAATATAATCTTTTTCAAATAAAGTATGTTGAAACAAATTTCCAAAAGAACAGTCCTGGTGAAAGAATTGAAAAGATCTTTTCTAAGAGGAAAATATAACTATTTATTTTTAAAGTTAATTATTGATATAAAAGGTTACAAAAAGAAAAGTCATAGCTATAACCCAGTCCTGGATGAACCAAAGATTTAGATTAATGAATGACTAAAATCATCCAAAGTATGCAGAAGTAGTTGCATTTTAAAAGTTCTATGAATAAATAAAAAACGTAAACGGTAGTACTGAACCAGCTGATGGCTGAGAGGCATCAAGACCAAAGTGGACCATTAGTCTAGTCAGAATAAAACCTGTTTTATCTTAACTGAGGTTGTTCACCTATCTAAAACAGGTAGGATATTAATTATTTAAAAATATAAACACTTTAAAACACCAGAACTCCTCTTTAATGCAGTTGTCTTTTTTTTTTCTCTGTGTGTATTTTCAGGGCTCACCGGAGCAACACTCTGAAGCACAGCAGTCTGTATGAAGCTTTCCTGCCGTTCCTCTCTCCCGTCCTCCTTTTCATCTTGTCCACCACTTGGATCGTCTTCTCTCCATCCAACATCCTGGATCTGCAGCCCAGGATCTACTACCTCATGGTGGGGACCGCTTTTGCCAACGTCACTGTGAGTATCGTTACTCTAGCCTAACAGAGCCAAATATTATGAGCAGAGTGTTTGTGTAAACGTGTGTGTGTGTGTGTGTGTGTTTTCAGTGTAAGCTGATTGTGTGTCAGATGAGTAACACACGCTGTCAGCCGCTGAGCTGGATGTTGCTGCCCATGACTGCGGTGGTCCTGTTAGCCGTGACGGGGGTCCTCACCAACGAGACGATGCTGCTTTACTTGTGGACAGCTGCTGTCGTTCTCGCACACATACACTACGGCATATCAGTGGTAAGAGCTCACACACTGAAACTGTACTGGACTCATGATGAGTTATCATCATCTCTTCATCTGGGGCCTCATGTATAAATGGTGCATACACATAAAAAAGATGCATGTGTAAATATACACACATTTTTCACCTGCTGAGAATGTGCGGATGGCACGGTTTTAACCCACAATGTCATGAGTCTGACCTGAATCAATCTATCAATCAATCAATCAATCAATCAAACTTTATTTATAAAGCGCTATAATATCAGCCACTGCTGAAACAAAGTGCTGAACACATAAAAATAAAAACTGAATACAAAAACACAATAAAATCACACAGTTAAATAAGTAAAATCAGCACCAATACAGTAAAAGTTGAGTAAAATCAAATCTCAGATGGGTTGAAGGCCAGTGAGAAAAAATAAGTTTTTAAACGAGTCTTAAAAATGGACAGTGAAGGGGCCTGTCGGACATGTAAGGGCAAGGAGTTCCACAGTTTAGGGGCACTAACAGAGAAAGCCTTATCTCCTCTGAGCTTCCGTTTAGAACTGGGAATGACCAGGAGCAACTGGTCAGCAGACCTGAGTGACCGAGGAGGGGTGTAACGGTGAAGAAGCGCCGTTAAATAAGATGGGGCGAGGTTGTTTAAAGCCTTAAAAACAAACAGAAGGATTTTAAAATGGACTCTAAAACAGACAGGCAGCCAGTGGATCCACAGAAATAGGACTCCTTTCTGTTTTCTGGATGTAAGGAGTGTCTGAACACCAACTTTTAGTGTGAAAGCTGCGCACTCTTTCAGGCCCCAGGTTCGATCGGACCGATCACATCATATTTCTTCTGGTTCTTCCAAATCATAGACAAACAGTAGCCTTTTATTTTCTTGGTCCCTTCAGGGCTGTGGGCTGGTGGACGCAGCAAAATCTTATCTGAGGAAAAGAATCAGAACTGAGCATTAAAGGAACCCCAGTTATTTGTATTATTAGACATTATTTGATAACATTTACTTAAAGGCACAGTGTGTAGGGTTTGTTGTTTACAGCGACATCTAGTGGATGAGTGGTTGAATCATCCTCCCTGGTCCTCCCCCCACCCCCACATCCCCGCTTCCAAACACAAAGGAGTTGCTACGGTGTCTCTCAGGTGTCAAAAACCTTTGATAATTCCAACCGTGATGTCTACCAGCAGCTTCAGGGCTAGTGATGTTTCAAGTGGTAAGATTATGAGCTTTGATAAGTAAAATTATCCCAGCTACAATGACAGACAACAAATATTACATTTATAGTATTACAACTAAAACCGTTTTTGACGCCGCCACCGCAGTTTGTCCTTCATGAGCCTTCGTAGACAAGATGGCGGCTGCCTGTAGTGGCGACCCGCGACCATGGAGATATAAACAGCTTTTTATAAGGTAAAAATAATAAAACAAGGTCTTTGGCAATGATTAGATATGTTTTTTATTATTGTCATTAGTGATTATCTCAATTTCGGCTAAAAGAATTGACAAAATCCTACACACTGTGCCTTTAAACCAGTTTTTAAATTTTGTTTTGTGACTAAATTTCAGTGAATTTCTCTGTTTGTTTGTTTTTTTTAGGTACAACAGCTCAGTGGCCATTTTAACATCTTCGCCTTTTCCCTCAAGAAGCCCAACCGTGATTGACAGGAGGAGGAACGAATGGGCTTGACAGCAGCAGAGGTTTAAGCTACCCCTCTCTCTGACTTACCGACACTTCACCCGTCATCACGGAAACCGCATCCCTTCCCCCCCTCCATCTACAAGACGCTGCAAGATGAGCGGACAGTGGCCCTCGTTTTACACACAGCAATCACACATTCCCAAAGCAGCTGCTCAGACTCTTGTCTGAGCGACGGGGCGGGGCCTCCGGCTCCCACTACTGGTGATTGGCCGATTGCGTTGGGCCAACAAGGTGCAATTGTTTCCTACGGAAATGTGCTTCTGTCGTGAGGACAGGAGCCCAGACGATCCACAACAAGACAAGCGCAGATTTGTCCTATCTTTGCGAGGGCCCCTCATTCTTCAGCTCATTTGTCCTAAAATCAACAACCGCAAGTTAATCCCTCACTTTTAACACAAAATTCAATCGAAGAAAACCCCAAAAATCCAACTTTTTAACTTTCGTCTGTCGGGACACGCCAAAAAAAAAACAAGTCTTCAAGACCCGGTACGTCTATATGTCCTCAGAAAATAGACGCAGATGTTAATGCTCACCCACAGATGGATGAAACTGTGGTGGGTTTTTTAACACAAACATAGCCACGGACATGAATCCACAGCCTTTAGGGGAGAAAAAAAAAACTGCCATTTCAGTGTAATTCTCTGAACAGGAACGTCTTGAGTCGTGTGATTTCATGCTCGGCCAAACCTGGGAACGTGCGGCGCCAACAGCTCCAGCTGTGGCCGGTGTTTAAAAGGTTTGGTTCTCATCTTTTTTTTTTCTTTTTTTTTTTTTTGAATTTTCAGATCTGTTCCTGGTGTTGTAATCTATGTGAATAACAACATTTATGTAAATACATATGGAAGAATTGTTCGGGGGGTGTGGGTTTTTTAATTTTCAAATGGTCTTCAAATTTTATAATTAATTTTCCTCCTGTAAAATATTGAGTACGTTTCTAATTAATTTGACGTTGTGCTCAGTGGTGACGGGTAATTATTGACTAACGGGTGAGAATCGATCAGGGTAACCTCTACTAATCCTTCACCTATACCTCCGTCTGAGCACTGGCCTCCCAGATCTCCCTTTCTTTCTGAGGTGTCGTGCTGTCATGCCGATTCGTTCGCTCTAGTTTTATTAATCTTTGGGGTTCAGCGGTGGTTCATAAAGTTGCACTGAGCTTGAATGAAGAGAGAGTCCAAAAACCGTAACTGGAGCGGACTCACTCTGAGGAAACAAGCCTCCGATCGGGGCAGTGCAGCACCAACGCCACCTGCTGTTCCTCAGATGATATTGTATCTTTTTATTTTTTATTTCTACTGTCGGTCAATTAACTCGTGTTAAGTTTGTAGTCTGTTTAACACTGTTTGTTTGTACGTCTGACYCTTTATCTCCAAGATGGCGGACATTCATTTTGTGACTGCAGCACACGTTTTTTTTTTTTCTTCAAAAGCCACAGGAAAACGAGTTGTACYGAAGAGGATTAGGGCCGCTGGAAAAAATAAAATAATTCCGACTTTTTCTCAGAATTATTAGATTAAAATCAAAATAATCTTTTTTCAGTGGCCGTAATCCTCTTCTGTAGAGCTGATTTGGGCTTGTAAAATAAAAAAAAGCAAAACCTGTTTTACCTCAAAGTCGACACTGACCGCACGTCAGTGGAGGGAGTTGTTTTGAAGTTCGACTTGTTGGAAAAAAAAAGACCAGTTCTGTCTTTTAGTGAGCACTTTTTGTTGTTGTTGTTGTTGTTGTTTCAGATCAGTTTTAAGATCCCCATCAGTTAATTTGGATGTAAAATGTGAAACAAGTGGATTCAATCAGCTCTAAATGATCAGCCTAATGTCGGGGTCTTTGTGATTAGTTTTGTTTTAACGCACAAACCAAAATATATTCTGTTGGGAAAAATCTTGGGACTTTTTCCAGGGATGTTCATTTGGGAGATTTTTTTTAAAAAGCGGGGTTCTGAAGAACATCTTACCTGTTGTATGAAGCTGTTTGAAGGGCCTCGGTGTGAAGGAACCGTTTTAATTCTGWGCTAACGGCTAATCTGAATGGGGCCAAGACCAAAGTATCAAACATTTTATTTCATGAACTTTTAAATTGTCCATCTCACACAAAACTGTTATTTCTACACTTTTTACAGCTCTTTGCAAGTGCAAACGACAGCAGCAGCTAGCTGTAGCACTTCTTCTAGGAACATCAAATAATTTCTGCCAGATTAAACAGGTTTCTAAAATAGTGTTCAGATCTTTAGAGATTAAATCTGTTTTATCACAGCTGTGGTTTTCGCCTCACTCGGACCATTAACAGTCCTTAAAGAGCTATGTACAACAGGTAAGATACTGACAAATAAAACCACTTCAAAACGTCTGACCTTTTCCTTTAGTTGCCTGTTTGTGTTTGGTTTGTTCAGTTGCAGTAATGTTCCTCTCACACAATGCTCAAACATTAGAAACACATGAAACGGTTATTTTATTGACGTTTAGAGTTTGCAGGTCCAGTTTTGTAAGTAAACTGAGCAACATGGATATATAACTTTGATTTTATTATTTTTTTTATTGTTAGTTTGGCTCAAATAGAACCACCTTCAACTGCCGATAGACTCAACTAACGAGCTCAATGAGTCGCTCTACTTGGGAACAATATAACGTAATAATAACACCGCAATAGTTTGTTATATTTAATTTTTCCTCACCGACCCAGACTGCATGTGTGACTTTGGGCACTGAAGATTGTTGTAACGTGGCAACGACTGTGTTTCTGTTCTGTCCGTTTCACGTGTGTGCGCTGTATGAATGTCTCTGTAAATACATTTTATTTAAGTTTATTTTTAATCTACAAATGAGTTGTTTTTTTCCCCCATACAACAGATTTCCTCCTGATGTAATAGATGTTATTGGATGTGATGCCAATCTGCACAGCAGTAGCTTTTTACATGATCTGTCAAATACTGGTAATAGTTTTGCCTCTTTATTATCTGATTGTATCAGTTCTGGGTTTTTCCTGTGGGAAAGGTGTGAGGACCTGCTCTCTAAACTGTAAACACAAGAACTGTAATATACATATATTTTTGTCATGTATCACCTGGAAAAAAAAAGTGCCATTRAGTGAAAGTTTGTCYTGCAACTGGCAGTTAAACTCCCAGTTTCTTWYCGATCCAGTTATATCTGTTTTTGCTTTCTGGGTTTTGTTTTTGTGTTTAGAAAGAAATCCTAACCCTCCTTCACATTAAGCGGTTGTGTATTACTTCTCTGGCTAATGCTCCAGAGCTTCAGTGTGACTATTTGTGGCATTGTATTTAACCAGTGAAGGACAGGACTATCATAACACAAATAAAAATTGACTTTCTTAAAGACCTTTTCATTTGTTTTTGTCAGAATGTTGAACTTGGTCAAGAAAMAAAGGCTTGTCTTTCCAGTTTGTCCACTTGGGGGCAGCAAAGAGCAGCACATTTTTATTTGTCATAATTTATTGAGCTTTTTTGTCACTAATTGGAAAATGGGATGGATTTGTAAAGAGTTAACCACTTTGCACACTTAGAATAGAGTAATGACTGAAGTTTTGAATTCACTACAATGAAAGTTGAGCACAATACGGCGTTATTATTATTTAAGGTCATCTGAATGTACAGCGGGTAAAATAAGTATTGAATATGTCATCATTTTTCTCAGTAAATATATTACTAGAGGTGCTAATGACATGAAATTTTCACCAGATGTCGGTAACAACCCAAGTGATCCATACATACAAAGAAATCAAACCAGAAATGTCCAGAAATGAAGTTATTTGTACTAATGTAGAATGGCACAGGGGGAAAGTATTGAAC